CCCCTCGCCCCTTCCTTATCAGCACACCACTGTAGGAAACCTCTGTTGTAAGCCAGTCTGCATTCTTCTTTTCTTGCTGTAGGTCCCACAGCAGGAAGAGAGGGAGCAGACAGCAGAGCACCTCTTTGTGCATGTGCACTGTGACTCCAGTCTGAACTCAGCATCTGATAGATTCTGATTGGTTATTATCATTGTCAAAGAAGCAGCTCAGTCTACAATTGCAGGTTTTCAGATTGCCTGCAATCTTATCCAAGACATTGCAAGGGTTTAAAGAGCAATGATCACAGGCTGGCACTCAGGACAAATCTGGAGATGGGTGGGGGCACCTGGGCACACTGGCTTTTGGGCCAACAATAACACAACGGCATGTGTTGCTTGTTCAAAGACTAGAAAAAGGAAGTAGGTATAGAAGACTTCCCAGTCTTCTACATGGGTGCCTCATTGTTCAGAGGTCTGGCCTTTATAGGCACTAGATGCTGGAATAAGCATTCCAAAAGCTGGTGTTAGGTCATGTCGTGGCTCCACAGGACCCTGGACAGCACCGTGAAAACAGTTGGGAGTTATAATGTAAATCGATGCAAATCTGGAATTCGGCTTCAGCAGTTATGAAGCGTATTTCAAGCCTAAAACATTTTTTAATAGTTTTAGATAGAATGGGGAAAGAAAATTCCTTCCGTGTCTTTACTACTATTCAGACTCCAAGATTTACCCTCACCTCCTGTCCTGTTGACAATTGTTTCACCAGACAGGAAATGAGGGAAGATCTGCAACAGAGAGAAAGATACAAGTTTGATGGGGTTATAGCCTTTCCCTATTCTACTAAATAAAAGCATTTTTATTTCTGTGTTGATATCAGTTACCTTCACTACCTGTATGGTAAATTCTGTCAGCAGGAAAGGAAATGAGGGGAAATCTTTTAAATGTGGCTGCAGATAGCCGTTCTAACCCTTCCCCCACTATACCCAACACTAAGAAAGTATTGGTTGAACATGAACCCCACTTTCCATACAGACAGACAACCATATACTGTATTTGCAATACTCAAAAGGTGGTTTTGATTATATTGGGTGTGGACACTGTGTACATGAATACTCAAGCTCATCTCAGGTCTGTGGGTTGATTTTGTTGTATATTATAAAACTTTAGATTTTACAGTGTTCTTTGCCATGCTTTGAAAAAGCCCAGAAAGCAGTGGTGTAAGCCAACCTAGCTAAATCAAAATATATGGAAATTGGATTTTTGCACAATTAAATTAAAGGTTATTGTCCAGTGTTTTGAAAACGTGACAGGAGTGCACTTTACAGAAGGTTTGGACCATCTGTCACTTTTAGCATCCAACAGGAATCCCTTGTACCCTTAAAACGACTCTGCTGCTGAAAAAAAAAAGAAAGAAAAAAAAGGTAAGCCAAAAAGCACCTATTAAAGAAGACTGTTACTTCGTCCGGTGTCCATTCATGGAATCTTTGTTTTGCAGCAGAACTACACCGCCAGAATGATCTTCACTTCAGGTGCAGATACGGGGGTTTGGACTGCCTGCATCCTTCATCAGATTATGGGTTCCCCTTCCAGCCTCTATGCAATTACAGTACACGGTAAGGATGTAGGAACTTTACAACACAGCGGGACACCGGTAACCCTGCACTCCTGGAAGTGTGTTTGATGTGAAGATCCCTCAGGTGGCATAGCTCTGCTACAATGCAAATATTGAATTAATGGGTGAAAGGAAGCCAAATATAAACTGCCTTCTTTTACAGGCGCTTACATTATTTTGCCAGTGACAGGGTCGCTTTAAAAGGGAAACAACAGTACTAACAGTTACCAATGTGCCATACCAGACCAAATCAACCACTCAATTTCTTGAATAAAAAAAAAGGCATACTGGCTCTACAGCAGGGACAGACTGCACCTACAGGTGAAACTCTATTAGAATATCGTGCAAAAGTTCATTTATTTCACTAATGCAACTTAAAAGGTGAAACTAATATATGAGATAGACTCATTACATGCAAAGCAAGACAGCTCTGCTAGGGGGGAAAAGATGGTCAATAGCCTGGAGGAACTTTTAAACTAGGATCTGGAAGCGATTGTATCAAGATATCCTTGTGAGTGTTTTTAATCCTTTTTTAAAAAAAATTATGTTTTAAAACTGAATTACGCTATGGTTATCTTTTATGACAAATGCCTTTATTCAGCCTCACCTACTATGTAACCAGTGGCGTCACAAGGGGGGTGCAGCCCGCACCTGGGTGACACCAAAATGACTGTCATTTTGGTGTCACCCCCCTCTGAAAAGTCAACGCCAGACAGTATCAAGAGAGAGAAGGGGCCTTGGCGGCATACCTTATCCCGCCGGGTGACTGTCCCCTCCTCTCTGTGCCAAGATGGCCACCGGCAGGTATCAAGAAGATCGCTGCGCATGAGCGGTCACGTCTCGGCGGGGTGACACCCGGTAACCGCTCTGGGTGTCACCCAGCCTCGGGACGCCCCTGTATGCAACTACACAACTATGCATAGGGGATGATTTAATGAATTCGTTATCTTTACACTGACCTACTGAACTGCCAAGCAGCCAGTCTGGTTTAGAAGTTTTAGGCTGCCTATACACCATGCGATCATCGAACGACACTTTTCGTGATGGAATTATCGTACGATTTTCGTACGGCGGCCCCATCCTGCCCCGATTATTGCAAAGTTGGATCAGCAGTAATTAGAAAGCACCTTGACATGGTAGAGGTCGGGGGGGCGTGGCTTGGACGTAATGGCGACTACACGCGAGTAGCGTGGACACCGCAAACCTCTCCCTACTCAACAGGCTTCCCGACTGCTTAATGCACTGACCACAGCGATACATTCAAACCGGCTATGATGGGGAGAAATACTTGAGCTACGAAGACCCCGAAACCGGGGGCAATCAAAAAATACCTCGCGGCGGACTCCCGGACGCAATCGAGGAACTCTCTGTCTCGATCGGATCTCCCAGCGGGATCGGCCGTAACCTTGACGAATCTGCGCATGTGCAGTGTAGATCGTAGGAATTTTAACGTACGGAAACGCCACCAACCTTGCAAAAATCGTATGTTCGACCGAAGTTTTCTAACCTGCTGGTTAGTCAAAAGTCGATCGATTGTACAGTAGTTGCGGTTGTACACTGCCCATCAATCTTACGAATATCGGCCGAAAACATGATCGCCTACGAAAATCGCCCGATAATCGTAAGGTGTATGGGCACCTTTACACCCAATTCCTCATGAGTTAATTAGGCCTTTTAAACTAAGTCAAGTACACACTGCCAGGGTATAAATGGCACATTTAGTAAATCACACCTTTTACATTTATACTCAAGCCCCTAGCTGTAGTTCACAATTCATATGCTACTTCCATGTCGCCTTAAGTTCCGTCCATGGGAGGGACTTGGAAGTACACAAATCCAGCAATGTATTCAGCTTCATTTTGTGATGTACATACTTCTGTGGCTCCTGTAAAGTTTGGGGTGCGTTTCTTTTGTATTGTTCTTCCACAAAAATCCATTGTGTGTTTTCCTTTCAGAGGTGTTTAGATCTAGTTCCATGCAATCAGTGCATGTCATCTCATCCAACGTTGCGGAAACACATTGCAATCGCGTCCAATGCATGGTAATGAGATTGTGATGTGTTCGAAGAACGTGTTTTGGGAAATTAAACTGCATGCTGAGCTCAACTGCTTTCTCATTTTTAATGCTTCTCAGTAAATTGCACAGGAAATGCAAGAAAATGCTGTGGAAAAATAAATCAGTTTGAACAAAGTTATATGCTATTTAGCAATCAAAACACAATGCATAATTGTTTTGAACAACTTCTTCAGATAATTAACTTTCTTTTGTTCTTTCACTTTTGATTAAATACAGACATACTGTAGAAAAAGGCAACTGCGGATTACTGTATAAATAGATTAAAGGAACAAAAAATAATTGCCGCAACCCACAACAACCATTTGAAATGTAGGTTCCCAAACCCAGGAATAAACACCACAATGACTGATTTACTAAAGGAGTGGAGAAACTTCACACAATAAGGAACTCTGTTGAAGAATTTGTCAGATAAAATACTATAAGTGACAACTAACTTGGTTAGAAGTAAATCAGTAGACGTAAAATTATCTAGATTTTGCAAGTATTTGACACTGTACCCCACAAAGGTTTTTTTTTTAAGTCATGGATAGAGTAGGGGAGGGTTATATGTATCTAGAGGTGCACTGAAATCGAATTTTCAGACCAAAACCGGAAAAAAATTTGTCAGGCTGAAACCGAAATTTGTTTTCAAACCATTTTTAAATTTCTTTTTTTGAATATTTCATTTATTTGACTTTACTGTTGGGGGCCCTGTGGAAATATCAGGGATCTAAACAGACCCCTGATATTTCCCTTTTGAAATGGAAAAAGAGATTTGAGGACACATAGCCCTCATTATCTTTTTCTGCAGCCCCTGTTAGGAATAAACAGGAAGCCTCCATACTGAGTGTTCCTGTCCATTCATAAACTGTGGATAAAGTATGAGTTACTATGACCACAATCATGAATAAACAGGAAGTGATGTAGAGCACATACTATAAGCATACTATGTCCTCAATTATTTACAAACACTCAGCGGTCAGCTGAGTGCTTGTAACAGCTCTCCATCCTGACTCACTATCACAGGAGGCTGTGTACAGAGGAGAGCTTGGTCTCCTGTGACACTGCTGACAGCTGACTCTACTGCTGCACCGCTGGCTTGGCCTCCTGTGACAGTTGACAGCTGTCTCCTCCACGCACCACTCTTTATCCTGATCTGTCTGTCACAGAAAGCTGAGCGGGGTGTTGCAGGAGGAGAGCTCTGCCTCTTGTGACAGCACTTTCCTCCCCACCTGACCTCCTGAAAGTTTCTCTCTTCGCCGCTGGACACAGAGCAGCGCCCAGCAAGGAGGAGAAAAACTAGATACACCGGATTTTCGGTTAAAAAAAAAAAATGGTACTTTCTGCATTTTGCCCAAAATGTTTAGGTGGCCGAAATTTCAGTGCATCCCTAGTTATAACCCATGTTAAAATATGTTTCCATCTGTGTTCCATTGGTGGAGATTCCCCTTCAATTGCAGTCACATATCCACAACAGGAAATGCCTCCAAAGTGAGGAAAATCCCTGGTGGTCAGGGTCACCAGAACCAGTGTCCCAATTGGAAGATTTTACATCTATTCCTGTTCTGGTGACAACCCGAAATTTTGAATTTTCAGTGGTAATGGTGACCAGAACAACTAGATAGGGTGAATCTCCCAAACAGAAACACAGACCGCAAAAAAAAACCTGATGTGTTCTAATCCATATCAAACACACACAAAAAAAAAGGCTTTGACTTAATTTGCACTTTTATTTACAAACTAAGGTCTGTTGGTGTGGAGGCAGTTATATGTACAGGGACAGAAAGCTGGCTTCAGGAATGAGTAGAGATAGTAGTAGTAAACAACTGAGCCTCTATGTCCGGGGTAGCCAAACTCTGGTCCTCCAGCTGTGGTGAAACTACAAATCCCATGATGCATTTCTTTCCAGGAATCATGTCTGAGAATCTTGCAATGGCTCATGGGATTTGTAGTTCCACCACAGCTGGAGGGCTGGAGTTTGGCTACCCATGCTCTATGTGGTCTCAAGTTGTGAGTGGTGTGCCCCAGAGTTCTAGCTTGAGATCAATGCTGTTTAAACAGTTTATAAATGACACTGAAATTGGAATTAAAGAGTTCTGTTTCAGTATTCGCCAATGGTACCAAACTATGCAAAATTTTGGTACAGGATATAACAATACAGGGAGACCTTGATCAAATAGGGGGATGGGCGGCTATTTGGAAGATGTTCAATTCTGAAAGGTAAAATTATGCATTTGGCTGCTAAAAATGTGCATGCAAAATACTCATTAGGAGGTGTTAGACTGGGGGAATCCATGATAGAAGATTTGAGGGTCCTTGTAGACCACAGACTTAGCAATAGCACCCAAGGTCAGGCCTGCAGCTAACAAAGCTAGCCAAATACTCTCAAGCAATAAAAAGGGTATGTATATCAATACTTTCACCCCTTTCCAAAACATTTCTTCGGCCTCATCTTGAGGATGGCAGTAAAAGTTCAGGTCACTAATAAACAAGAAGGTGAAGGGCAACAAAATAAGAGGGGGACTGGAGGACCTCAGCTACAAGTCCTGAGAAATTACCACCATCTACATACAATCAATGGTGACTGTAGTAATGGTAAACTGTTTATTTGATGAGGACACGAAACCACAATTTGAGGTTTGAGGAAAGAAGCTTTAAACTGAAATTGTGCAGGAGGTTATCAATGGTTAGAGCAACAAAAAGTTTTAACTTCCTTCCCCAGGTAGTGATATCAGTTGGGAGTGTTGATAACGTAAAAAATATTTCTACATGCCCTCCTCAATGGGTACCATATACAGGGGTTTGTACAACCTCAGAAGACAAGCTGACACACACACATTGGAAGGACCTGTAGCTTTTTTTTTTCAAATCATGTGAATATTCACTACAGTTATCCAATCTTGTGAAAAGTCAATTACAGGTTACTTTGTTCATCTGCCCATAATAGGATATTCGACATGAGTCAATAGAGATTTGCTTAATTGTGGGAAGATTCTAAAATCCTTCAACTAATTCTGAACAAACCCATTGATTTTTTTTTTTTTTTTTTGCAGAAGCCAAAATGTCACTATACAAGTACATTCTAAAAGCCTATAAGTGAAGACACATCTTTATCCCTTTACACTACCCCTACAGTATTTGTAAATTTTACCCCTACAGTATGATTTCCGATTGATTTTTACTTAGAAATGCTTTCAGATGTTCCTTTTTGCTCTCACATTGTAGGGTTCTGTAATGTCATAGCTGAGTAACAGCCACACCCCTCAGCACAAGTGTCCTTGCACCGACCTGTGTTGCAGAGATTAGGGGTGTATCTGACCAGGTATGCGTCAATTACTGAGAGCAATGGTGCTATTCTGGTGCCTATTGGGATGTGCAGTTATATTTGTATAACTGTTGGAACTACACAAATTAACTACAATTTCAATGGCAACGTAAATGTTTTTCTTAAATTTTGGAAAGAGCAGGCAAAGGTTAAAATCGCTGTTAGGATTTTTTTTTTTTTTTAATAATTTGCATCCCATTGTAGATATTTTCTTTTCACTTCATGTCCTGTAGAAACAACAAAAAGTGATATAAATGCCATCTTGACAGTTGTCACTGGGACGGCATAACAGGCGTAAATTCTCCTAACAAGGGCACAGACTGCAGTAAAAACATAACAGGGGGGGGGGCGTGGCCAACCATGGTGGTGTGAAGACGTGCAGCCGCGAGCTCTGCTACACCGGGGCTCCCTAAAACTGACTTTTCAGCACAGCGAACGGATTTTTGACCCCCTATGCCCGACGACAAAGTCTCACCCGGCGGCCCTGTTTCATCCTCTACCCGGGACATCGCCTCCTACTTTACGAGGCATCCGGACGCAGCCGCAGACACGTGGAGCCGCAATATGGCGCCGAAGGTCGCCCAGCCACGGAAGACGGGACCGGATCCCCTACAGCCGCAGACGCCAGCCTCAAGCCTCCGTTCCTCCGCACGCACCGCGGGGACGAGACCACAGGATCCCCCGCTGCCTCTCCACCCCTCTGGGACACAGGAGCCCTCCTCCACCCCCCTGGACCCTTCGATCCCGCCTGTCTTCCTGGACTCAGAACAATCTGCAGCCACTGAGGTACGTGACCTGTTTGCGGCCTTTCGGGCAGACTTTGATACCTGGGCCACAAGACTGGAGGGGGCTCTGAGGGGAGAGGTGAATGCGCTCAGCCGCAGGGTCACTGCCACAGACTCACGGCTTACCACCCTATCAGACTCAGTGTCAGCCCAGGAGACCCGGTTGGAGACCCTAGAAACAGCTCAGGCAGCCCACCGGTCCCACCTCCAGCAACTACATCTAAGAGTGGAGGATGGTGAAAACAGGAGTCGCCGTAACAACGTCCGCCTGAGGGGGATCCCAGAGGCCACCCAGGGCGCCGACTTGCATGCTACGGTGACTGCGATCCTTAACCAGGCGCTTGGCAAACCTCCTACTGATGTCATCGAGCTTGACAGGGTTCACCGGGTCTCGGGCATCGCCATGGGCAACCCTAACAGGACCAGGGAGGTATGTCCGCACCTGGTCAGTTTGGATTGATTTTAGAAACTCAAATGGTTTTCAGGCAGCCCTCTCGCCCTGAACCACCTGCAAAGTGACATAGACGCAAGGCGGGAGGGGGGTAAGGAGAGAAAAACCCCCCCCCCCATCCTCTCACTGTCTCTACTTTTCCCTGACCCTCCTGCTGTTTTTCTTC